CACCGAGAGTCCAGACAGCAGTTCCCATCCTGCAGAGACAACCTACAGCTCAGGGAAGTGAGGGATGGGGGGAAAGGCTGCAGGGAGACATCGGGACACAGACACTAGGGGACACTGTGAGACATGGGGACACAGGGAGACCTCTGGGGATGCTGAGACACTTGGGGACACTTGGAGACACAGGGATGCAGACACACATGGGGACACTGAGACATAGGGACACAGGCACACATGGGGACACTAAGACATGGGGACACTGAGGCACTAGGGGACACTGTGAGACCTGGGAGCACTGAGACACTAGGGGACGCCGGAAGACATGGGGATACAGAAGCTTAGGGACACAGACACACATGGGGACACTTGGGGACACTGAGACATGGGGACACTGAGACACTTGGGGATACTGGGAGACATGGGGACACTGAGACACTAGGGACAAAATGTTCCCAAGTGTCTCAGTTTCCCCATGTCTCCCAGCTGGTGTCTCTGGTGTCTCAGTGTCCCCATGTCTCCCAGTGTTCCTAGTGTCTGTGTGCCCATGTCTCCCAGTGTCCCCATGTCTCCCAGTGTCCCCATGTCTCCCAATGTCTCCCAGTGCCACCCATTGACACTAGGGGACACTGGGTGACATGGGGACACTGGGAGACAGAAAGACACTGGGAGCAATCCATCTATACAGCAGAATCAAACTGTAAGAAGTTTTTTTGGTGATTTCACAGAATTTTCTCTTACCATCATGTGATGTCACATATACATAATTAGTTATGCAAATTAGTAAGGCCTGTATTTTTTCCAAGAAAGGTGGCAACCCTAACTACTCTTCACATACTCTTGCTTAAGTATGGAAATTTAAGAGGGATATATGGAAACAAACCTTGTGTGGGCTAGCTGAAATAAAATTAGTTAACATAATGCTGACTTTGGTCTCTCTAACACTGTGGCATGTTCTGTTTCTTCTACACTCACTACATCCACCTTTTCTCTGTCACATACTGTATACCAGGAGCTTCTTACGAAGTTAAGGAGACAAGTGAACATGTGAGTGCTAGGGGAAAGTCCTTAGAAAGCACGGAACAAGCGCATCATTAGACACATGTATGCCAAGCTCAGGATGCTGTTGGCCAGCATGCATGATTAGCAAGCAGCCTGACATGCATTCATGCCAGGCTAGCCTTCTAATTCTTTGGGCAGACATGCGTCCTTTTTGGGCATGTTCGTCTCTTTCGGGAGTTCTGGTTACATGATCCGCCTCAGTGGCCCACCCTTTTACACCGCCCATTGACTTCCTGCTTCACTTACACTGCTGTTAGGTGGTATGGATGAAAAGATGAAAGCATGAATTAGAGAGAGATTAGCATATTTTAAGAGAATCTGAGTTTTCTTATAGTTGCATCGTATGAGTTTCCCTCCTGCAACATCTCCACTAGATACATAGCGTATGTACGACTGATTTAGTGTTTTTGGTTGATAAGATTCTGTACTTAAGCCCATCATAATTGTCAGCACCAGGCCCACTGGGCTCTTAATCTGGCCCTGTCTCACCCCTCCACCTTTTTTGGATACCAGGAAGAAATTGCTGATATAACCTGGTATATTGGTTGGGAACTCTGTGATGGCTTGTTTGCGCATCAATTCGTGAATTTCATTGGATACAAGGAGAGTATCGTGCTGGAAAAAAAACAATCTCTCTGGGAGGGGAGATTTGGGTCGGGTGTGACACAAAATCTATGCAATAACCTTTTACAGCTTGAAGGACCCAAGCATCTGATGTCAGCTGTGACCACACATGAGACAAATGTATAAATCTGCCCCCACAACCCAAAGGACAGAAAGAGGAGAGTAGACACTTACCATAAGTTCATCATCCAGAAGGAGCTCCTTGGATGCCCCTAGTGACCCAGGGTCTGCCTCTTTGTGGGAAAAACACTGGTGCGGACCTTTGCTCCCGAAAGACAGCTTGTCCTAAATAGGAACCTCAGTTCTGCCTATACGAACCTCTCTGAATACGGCCAGACAGACGTCTCCTTTCTCTTCTGGCAAAAGTCTTTTGGTGAAAGATTTTGCGCATGTTGCTTTGGGCCTTATCTAAAGCCGTGAAGATGTGCACAAAAGAACCCAACTCTTTCACAAAAGAGTCACCAAATAACAGCCCTTTAGCCTGGGCACCTGGCTCATTAATAGCTAGATTAACCAGCTTTGGCTCGATTTTCACAAGATGGACTTGCGGTGCTCAGTAGCCAGCGCTGAATTTACGTTGCTCATTAGACAAATTATCCTCTGGATCCAACCACGGATGAAATCCCTGTCTAGATCTCGGCCGTCTTTGACCGCATCAAATATTTTTGCTGCAGGGCCCAAAATGTCCAAGAATTTGTCTTGACAATTAGTTAGAGCAAAATCTAGACCCTTTATAGTCTTCCATCCAGTTTTCCCTGGGAATTGGGCAATTTTGGGGTCAACAATGGGCGTTTGACACGCGTCATCTGGGTCAGTGGGACGGGGGCATTCTGTCCGTAGTTTATTTCTAGTCACCTTATCCAAGGGCTTATGTACTCTGGAAGCGATATATATATTTTGCCACATGGTCAGAAGGACGCCATTCCGCTGAACGTAGATGCCTAAACTCATCTGGGTCAAAAAAGGGTAAACCCCAAGGATGCAGGATCCTAGAGTCGTCACCAGACCCCGACAGACTTACCTGGTCCCCTGACATCATAGCGGGGAAAGTTCTGAGGGAGGAGGTGTCTAGACCTTGTGTAGGTCTACAATCTTATCCTTGACATCCTTGGACAGCTCTTTGGTCTTGGTCATGGTGGAGAGTTTGGAATCTGATTGATAGATTGATTGCTTCTGTGGACAGGTGTCTTTTATACAGGTAATGAGCTGATATTAGGAGCACTCCCTTTAACCCCTTAAGGACCACTGACAGTTCAGGACCATCATCCAAAAATCCCCTTCCTGAACCATCATAAAGTTAATATTTACTTAGCCCGGTGGCTATAAGCATTTCTCCCGATGTGGGGGGACTGCCATACAGCCCAGACAGCCCCCCTCAGCGAATCAGGCCCCCGCGGCCATGTGACAACAGAGCGGTCACATGGCCGCAATAGGCGCCCGTGAATCTGCCTGTAGGGGTCTGTCTGTGCTGACAGGCAGTCTCCCTGCATGTGTAAAATGAAAAAATTTAATTGTTAATGAATAAAAATATAATTATATATGTGTATATAAATATATATAAGATATATAGACATATTATATCTATATAATATATGTCTATATATCATATATATAATTTCATACTAAGTGTATTTTTATATTAATATAAAAATACACTCAGAATTAAATTACACGCGTATATATTTATAATATATATATATATATATATATATATATAGTGATCCTTGTCAGCCGGTAGCACGGTCCTCTAGGGCAAAAACATGCACAGTCTTTTAATGCAACTTCATTCCAGGCACTTTATTTGTAAGTTTACATATGAGGCAGCAGCAAATGAAAAACATAAATCTAACAGGTTTCCCTTTAAACAAAAAACCTAGCTCGTCTGAGCACTAACTCACTTTGAATAACCCTCTCTATCAGGGTTAAACTAACAAAACATACTGCACCAACCTTATTAGATAGCAACACTCTGCTATCTAGCCTGTTGCTTTTCTTTCTCCACTCACAGTGCTCCAAGCCAGCCTTGCCCTGACTGCTTTCCTTTCTGCACTCCCAGTGCTCCAAGCCAGCCTTGCCCTGACTGCTTTCCTTTCCGCACTCCCAGTGCTCCAAGCCAGCCTTGACTGCTTCCTTTCTGCACTCTCAGTGCCTAGTCTCCTTGACTCTCTATCTGGAGAGAACAGCCTCTCTCCTACCTGTTTCCTCGGAGGAAGCCAGCAATCCCTCCCCATTACCTGCCTAGCAGGGAGGAGTTTATTCCCACTGCAACAGCTGATTAACTGCAGCTGAGCAGTGGGTTGGAGACGGTCCAAAAAACCCTGGCCTGGATCTATGTCTCCCCAGAAAACCACTAAACTGTGGAGTGGAGCATTGGCCCACCCTTCTCTCCAAATGTTCCACCCCAGGGGCCCATAACTAAACAAAGCTTTGTGTTGTGCAACACACAAACTACACGTACTTCCCCTGGGGTTAAAAGGCCTATCTGCCATCACTTTATCACATATCCTCCTCCCCAGCTCAGATCCATCGGGTCGAGCGGCCTTAGAACACAAACTGTGAACATTCGCGTCACCTAGGGCTGTACCAGCCCTGACTTGCTCTTCAGTTACAGGACGTGGCCTATTGCAGATGGCTTCTACCTTGCTCCCTTGTAGTTTAAGGAGCCCCCACCCACTAGGATAACCCACATAGTTAGCCTCCTCTAATCCTAGATAACACTTAGTGTTAGCGGTCAAACCGGCAGCTGCATACTCTCTGTTGGGCCAAAGTATCCTAGTCGTCATATGCGGAAAAGGTGCCGTTGCACCATGCAACCTGAATGGCAGTACTTTATGTTGCCACAACCCCTCGGGAGTAGAAAACACCGTCCTTCCCTTTGCTTTCTCTGTCAGGGGAACCTGCCAATACCTTATGACCAGGTCCAAGGTACTCAGAAACCTGGCCTTACTTGTACGCTCTTGTGTTTGAGCTACATGTACTACAGGGCATTTAACTTTTACAACCTCTGTGACAAACTCTACCTCTGCCATGGGGTATGACACCCACCATGTGTACCCACAATATCAATCACTTGTCTTAAATCACATTTTTCTGGCTGGAGCAGAACACTTTTCAAAGTAGCCTCACTCCCTGAATTAATTAGTGCTTGTGCAGTCTTCCCTACCACCATCACCACTTTTAGCTGTGCTATAACACCAGTCACCATACACATCAAGCAAGTCAATACAATCCTATACAGAGCCCTTATTACTATGTCACATTGTATTGTCTCTTCACTCTCAGGACAGCTATATGTAATATGTCCTTGCATATGGCAGTTGAAGCAGTTTTTCTCAGTCTGGTCTCGTAGCCAAAGTGGGACTTTTAGGTATATTCTACCATCATAGGTATATTGTCCTAGACTTTGTCCTTGCTTTCCAGTTTCCCCGCTTATCTGGTTGCTAGCGGATCTAGGCTGAGGATCAGTACTGTGTGGCTCCTTAGTAGCCAAGTTCCTCTGAATCATCATCTGCTTCCACATCCACAGCAGCTTCTGGTTTGATAGTCTCTCAATGTCCGAGTTACTTTCAAACGCAAACTTTACAAAAGCTTTGCGTGTAACTAACTTTTCTATATCACTTATATGTCCAGTTCTTTCATAAGATGAATTTGCTGGGTGCTCAACCTCTTCAAGACCTGGTTCTGTCACCAGCTCATCCTCCACTGGAACCGGTCCCTCCGTGAAGGGCTTCACAACATCCTCCATCTGTTCTGTGAATCCCTGGGAACCTTCCTTGCTTTCTACGGTTAATGCTACAGGTCTCATCTCTATATCCTCAGGGGGTTGGCCAGGGAGGCTGTCTAGAGCAACTTCCTCCTGCATGAATGCAGCCTTTGATCTCAGCTCCATCCCATCATATTTGGCCTGGCCTGGTATGGAGCGCTGTTCTTGTGTCGGAGGTCCAGACTCCCGGCTTAGCTCATCTTTCCTTTGCCTGGTTTCCATTGCCTTGAGTGGCCACCTCTCAATGTCAGCAATTCTTTCCTCTGGGCAGTCTGGCGGTCTCCCTGCTCCCTTGGGGGTGTCCAGAGACGCAGTCATGGCCTCTCGCTGGGTCAGGACAGCCCCGGTATAAACAGCCGGTCAGGCAGTCCGAGTCCCGCCTTTAATTCCATGACTGTGTTCCCAGAATCTGGCAGCTGTTCCAGGTAGTCAGTGCGCCCAGGCCTTGTAGCAGTAGTCTTTGCCAGCAGTTCCAGTTCTACGGCTCCCGAACAATCATTCAAAGTCGTTGTAGCTATACTAGGTATCTCTGAAATATTTAATTCTGCTATGCCAATGTCACCTACTTTGTGACGTTCGCCTTGGTCTGGCTTAGCTGCGGACGTGCCCATCTTATCATCACAGCTTGGTTCTGTAACTGTC